TGGAAGGACCTGGTTGCTCCAGGCAAGACGACAAGACCTCCTTGGGCAAGAACCACCAGTCCCCTATGTCTCCAGTGCAGCAAGAGCTGGTCTGAGCCCCAAACGTGGCCCTCCCACCCGGCACACCAGGTCCCCAGTTGGCCCAGTTACCTTCCCCTCAAGGAGCTGCTCAGGCCGCAAGAACTGGTGGGAAAAGACCCTGTCTCCAGGGGGGCAGCTGCCCGGGGTCTGGTGGCCCTGTGGCCCTGGCAGAGAGGAGAAAGGAGAACCGTCACAGGGGCACTTGGGCAGTGAGCAGTCCCCAGGGCTGGGGGGACAGCTGTCCCCAAGGCCCCATGGCATTAGGACATCCCTCACCTGCCGTGGAGGTCAACTGCCCATTGTGTGGCTCCGATCCCAGAAGGTGTTGCTGGAGGTCGTCGCCAGCGGAGGGCAGCGGCTGTGAGAGAGGAGGAGTGAGTGGAGGAGGGACCTCCCTCCCTGTCCCCCCAGGTGGGTGCTAGGGTCTGCCTCGCACCCCTGGGAGTGGGGCAGAGGTCCCCACACTGGGCTGCCGGGCACAGCTTCACCTAGTGAAGGGCTGGCCCCTCGGAAGAGATCTGGGCAGGATTTGGCCCAGGGCCCTTTTCACCTCTCAGGTGACATGGGACACGGAGATGCTGTGTGGTACCAAACACAGCCTCCAGCCCCACTCGAAAGGGCGAGCTGTGCTGTGGGGGGCAACCAGGGACCACCCAGGAGCATCTCTCTACTGAGTCCCAGCAGTAAATATATGTTTGGTGGAGGATGCTCAGCTCCTGCAGCCCCTCCTTCGCTAGGAGGTGCAGGGGGTGACAGGGAAGGTGCTAGGGCTCCATCTCCAGCCTGAGCCAGCCCAGTGCAGGCCTGGGGAGCAGCTCGGCGGGAGCGGGGGCTGATGCCTACCCTGGCGTTCTCGATGAGGATGCTGGTGCTCTGCCCGTTGGTGCCCTCGGTGCTCTGGCCGCTGCCGGCACTGCGGATGCTGCCAATGCTGCCCTCGCTGCCCACACTGTTCCTGTCTCCTGCTGCTTGGAGCAAGCGGGGAGGCCGTCAGCAGTGCCCCAGGATTGGGGCTGACACAGGGCACAGAGGTCCCCTGCAGGGACCCGTGTGCCAATGCAGTGACACCAGTAAAAATCACCCTCCCACGAGATCCCTCCGGCCACAGACGATGCATCGGTCCCTCCTGCCTCCTGACACGCACAACACAGACAGGGTGACCTGGGCTGACAAGGGATGCACGAAGGGGACATGGAGACGCGGCCTGGCCAAGGACACAGGGAGGGAAGGGGCTGCTCTAGGGGCTCCCCCAAATTCCCTTTCCCTGCGCCTGCTCCCTCTCGTCTGGCTGTTTCCCTGCCGGGAGATGGAAGGAGAGTCTACCCCCGTGTCCCCCTGCGCAGGCAGGGCTGGGAACAGTGGGAGGTCCCCAGCCCCTCTCCCTCCCCAGCTGCACCCCTGACCTGAGCTGTCAGGGCCTGGGGCCGTCCGGGTTAGGGTGAGGTGGCCATAGGCCGCTGGGACGTTCAGGGCTGCCTGGTGAGGACACTCGTCGGGGAGCTGCTGCAACCCGCTGGGGGGGGCCGGGAGGGCCCCGGGGGGACCCTGGCGCTGGTGCACGGGCGCCACACGGGGGACAACCATGCCTGCATTCAAAGACAAAACACGCGTGGTCAGAGCTCATGCGGGAGGCAGCGTGGGGGGGATATCTGAGCCTCAACCCCCAAATTACCACCCCAGCGATGGTGCAACCACCTGTGCCCACCCGAGTCCTTCTCTTCCCCCCCACTAGCTAGCCAGGGCTGCGGGGATCTGTCCTACAGGAGGTGCCGGGAAGGCTGGGATGGTTTCACACAGGGGACTGTCCCTGTAATGCCCAGGACGGCCACTGACCTGTTCGCTTGCTGATGACTTCGGCGATGGAGGGGGGGAAGTACCCAACCCGATCAGTGCCTTTCTGAGCATCATGGATGTGCCCCTTCCATCGTCCATCCGGATGCTGCTCCAGCACCTGCCGTGGGGACGAGAGGAATGGGGTTGGTACCTAGGGCCATGGCAGGGCAGGGGGACAGGGAGCTGGGAGCAGCCTCACCGTGATGACATCTCCTGCCCGGACGTTGAGAGCAGTCGGGTCGTGGAGGTTCCAAAAATCCTTCAAAGCTCGGACCTTCAGGATTCCTGATGCCTCTGAAGACAAGGGACGGAGGGAAGAAAGAAGGTGCCAGAGGGCAGGGGAAAAGAGAGCCGTTTGGGGAAAGTGGAGGGAGAAAATAAGAGCGAGGAGAGAGTAGGAGAGAACATTAATACTGCAGGAAGGACTCAATCCCTGGACATTGCCTACATGGAGAATAGGGGCATGCCTGATGGGACTGGAATGCTGAAGCTCACAGCCAGGCTGGTCTAGGCTGTTCAGGAGGAGCATTAGGAGCGCCAGGCAGGTCCGTGGGGAAGAAGACCCTCTCAATGCCAGGCAGCGCCCGGCTGCGTGCCAGCCCCACCTCACCTCTCAGCAGCTGCTTGATGTCCTTGCTGGCGTGAGAGGTGGTGAATTGGTTCACGATGTCCAGCGCCGTCTGGTTGTATGTGTTCCTGATATTCACGTCGACGCCGCCCTGCCCAGGAGGGGATGTGGTCAGGGACAGACCCCGCAGCTGCCGCCGGACCCACAGAGGACAGAGGAACCAAGGGGAAGGGGGTGATGGCTGACACCCAGGGGCTTGTCCCCCTTGCAGCCCTGTCCCTGCCGCGCTCACCTCCAGCAGCAACCGCACCACTTCTGTTTTGCCATAGAGCGCAGCCTCGTGCAGGGCTGTGCCCGTCTTTGTCTGCTTGTTGATCTCGATCCCGGCCTTCAGCAGCTGCCTGGTAGGACAGAGGGAGAGGCATGAACGGGAGGACACGGACACCAGGGCCAGGTGATGGGCTGCTTTGCAATGGGAAGGGGACAACCCCTTGCACCGCTGAGGGTTTGGGGACGAGGGACTGAAGCCTGCAGCGGGGAAGTGGCTTTGGGAGGAAGCAGGACTGAAGCCATGATGAGTTTTTTTGGGATAGGGCAGTATCCCAGGCTGGCGGGGGGTTACCTGATGATTTCCTTGTGCCCGTTCTTGGCTGCCAGGTGCAGCGGGGTGGTGTAGTTGGGGTCGGTGGCATCCTTGGATTGTCCCTCCAGGAGGGCAACGCACAGATGGCTGTTCAACAGCAGCTGGGCCACCTGCATGGGGCACAGAGGTGAGCAGCAGGGTGCAGGTACCCCCGCCTGCACCCTCCCAGTGAGGGGCTCACACTCAGGGCCAGCCCTCTGCTCCCCATCCCGCTGCTCCCCTCCATCCACAGCCCCAGGGCTCGGGAAGAGCCGGCTGGTGCTTGGCGGGGCCACACTGTCGCGAGGGGCCATAAAAGGTCACAACAGCCAGAAATAGTCTTCCCATAATCGGGCTTTTCAGACCAAGCCCTAAAAAATCTCCTGTCTCTCCAAGCCCAGAGCGACTCTCAGCGTCTCAGGGCAGCCCAGAGGCACAGAGGAGTTATTTTTACTGCCCTGTTTATAGCTGCAGACATTATAGATACTCCAAAAATGGAAATATCCCCCTGGTCTCATCCCCAGTGGGACACGGGATGGTCTGGCTGGCTGTGTTCCAGCCCAGCCTGGCAGGGTGGTGCTGGCTGGGCCGGAGTCTCCCAGAGCACGAGGGGGCCCTGTCCCCACTAGCCCACTAGCCGTGCTGGGGACCTCGAGCAGCCGAGCGGGGCCAGGCGCTCAGGGCTCGTGGGGATTAGCCAGCTCAGCCTATCTGTGCTTAAACGGGAGCAAAGCTGGGGTGGGCGGGGGGAGGCTGCAGGGAACCAGGAGCAAGGACTCCTGGCTTCTCTCCCAGCCTG